GGAAGCGCTGCCTCAGCAGCTTGTGCGAGGAGGTCTGCAGTGCGCCCGAAGACGAAGAGGGCAGTGAAGTGTAGTGTAGCGATAGGATAGTGGCAGCCATAGCTGCCATAGCTATAGTAGCGTGTGTGTGTGTGTGTGTTGCGTGTAGAGTGTTGCGTGTGGGACATCCAGGGTGATCCAGAGTGCGAATAGTGAGTTGTGTGGGCGCTCAGTCGCCATAGCCAGTTTGAAGGGAACTCCTACCTGGTTACGATTATCTTTGAGTACTGTGTGGGCGCATGTCGCCAGTTTGCTGTTTCGCTGTTTGCATGCATGACAAGTGTGAAGAAGTCGAGTCTGATTGCAATTTGAACCATTTCTCAATTTATGCGTGTCATCCTTGGACAGGGGCCATGCTAATCTTCAGTCTCTGTATCGTTCCAATTTCAACAGATGTCCTGAAGGACTGCGTCTCCGTTTTCGGTTTTCTGTCGTCTTCTCTTTTTTTTTGTTTTTTTTGTTTTTGAAGGTTGTGAAGGCTGACGTATACTGGGTTCCCATTTGCAACTTTTTTTTTTTTTTTTTTTTTTTTTTGAGGTTGTGGAGCCTGAGGTATACTGGGATCCTTTTCGTAGGAGCACATACATCGCTACACCATGCATATCAGGGTTTACACATGATACATGGGAGTAGTCTTGAGTGTGCTAATGAGAGCTCAGTGTGGAGGGAGGAAAAAGAGGGCACAACGTGGAGGGGAGGGGGAAAAAGGGGGGTACAACAACTTGGAGGCGGGGAAAGAGATGACACAACTTGGGGGAGGGGGTAAAAACGATGGCATAAATTGGAAGGAGGGGGGRGGGAGGGCACGAATTGGAGGGGGGGAAATCAAGTGACAAATTAAGCACTGGCTCCTCACTTCTCATCTCATAGTTTTTGAAAGAGCGAGTGACGTCCTTGGGGACATCCGTTAAAATTGGAACGATACAGAAAGAGAAGGTTAGCCTGCCCCCTGCGCTTTCAAGGATGACGCATGAGCAAGTAACGGACATGTGTTGATGTTTTATTCCCCATTGCTTACACCGCGTCTCTAATTCAGGCAGAAAATCGTCCAGCAAATCCTCCAGCATGTTGTGCACCACATGGTTCAGCAAACTGCACAGTGAATGGTCCCACTGGCATTCCAGTTAACTCAACAGGAAGTGGGACCATCATGTGCTGGTCCAGTTGATGGTCCCACAAATGGGTGTGCAAATAGTCTGGCAAATGGTCCCACAAATGGTCCCACAAATGGTCCCACAAATGGGTGTGCAAATAGTCTGGCA